GAAACAGCAGATTTAATTAACACTATTGCCCAAATGGATCTAACAGATATCTACAGAACTTTCAACCCTACATCTACAGACTTCACATTCTTCTCAGCAGCGCATGGAACCTTCTCTAGGATGATCACATACTAGGCCATAAAGCAAGTCTCAGCAAATTTAAAAGAATTAGAATCATACCATGCAGCTTCTCAGACCACAGCGGGATGAAGCTGGAAATTAGCAACTCAGGAAACCCCAGAAAGTATGCAAACACATGGAGACTGAACAACATGCTCCTGAATGAACACTGGGTCATTCAAGAAATCAAAAGAGAAATCAAAAACTTTCTGGAAGTAAATGAAGACAACAACACAACATATCAAAACTTATGGGATACAGCAAAAGCAGTATTGAGAGGCAAATTTATAGCAATAGGTGCCTATACCAAGAAATTGGAAAGGTACCAAATAATGAGCTTTCAGCGCACCTCAAGGACCTAGAAAAACTGCAGCAAACCAAACCCAAATCTAGTAGGAGAAGAGAAATAATTAAAACCAGAGAAGAAATTAACAGGATTGAATCCAAAAAAAACATTACAAAAAATCAGCCAAGCGAGAAGCTGGTTTTTTGAAAAAATTAACAAAATTGACACCCCATTGGCCCAACTAAAAAAAGAAGAGAAAAGACCCAAATCAATAAAATCAGAGATGAAAAAGGAAACGTAACAACAGACACCACAGAAATAAAAAGAATCATCAGAAATTACTACAAGGACCTGTATGCCAGCAAACAGGAAAACCTATCAGAAATGGATAGATTCCTGGACACATGCAATCTACCAAAATTGAACCATGAAGACATCGAAAACCTAAATAGACCCATAACTGAAACAGAAATTGAAACAGTAATAAAGGCCCTCCCAACAAAGAAAAGCCCAGGACCAGATGGATTCACTGCTGAATTCTACCAGACATTTAAAGAAGAACTAATCCCATTTCTTCTCAAACTATTCAGAACAATCGAAAAAGAGGGAATCCTCCCAAATTCTTTCTATGAAGCCAGCATCACCTTAATCCCTAAGCCAGAGAAAGATGCAGCACTGAAAGAAAATTACAGACCAATATCCCTGATGAACATAGACGCAAAAATCCTCAATAAAATTCTGGCCAATAGAATACAACAACACATCAGGAAAATCATCCACCCAGACCAAGTGGGATTCATCCCTGGTATGCAGGGATGGTTCAACATTCGCAAATCAATCAATGTGATTCACCACATTAACAGACTGCAGAAGAAAAACCATATCATTATCTCAATTGATGCAGAGAAAGCATTTGATAAAATTCAACACCCTTTCATGATGAAAACTCTAAGCAAATTGGGTATAGAAGGAACATTCCTCAATATAATCAAAGCAATTTATAAAAAACCCACAGCCAGCATCCTATTGAATGGGGAAAAGTTGGAAGCATTTCCACTGAAATCTGGCACCAGGCAGGGATGCCCACTCTCACCACTGCTATTTAACATAGTTCTGGAAGTTTTAGCCAGAGCCATCAGACAAGAAAAAGAAATCAAAGGAATACAAATCAAGAAGGAAGAAGTCAAACTATCCCTCTTTGTAGACGATATGATTCTGTACTTAGAGGATCCAAAGAACTCTACTAAGAGACTATTGGAACTCATAGAGGAGTTTGGCAAAGTGGCAGGATATAAAATCAATGCACAAAAATCAACAGCCTTTGTATACACAAGCAATGCCATGACTGAGAAAGAACTGCTAAGATCAATCCCATTCACAATAGCTACAAAAACAATCAAATACCTTGGAATAAACTTAACCAAGGATGTTAAAGATCTCTACGATGAAAATTACAAAACCTTAAAGAAAGAAATAGAAGAGGATACCAAAAAATGGAAAAATCTTCCATGCTCATGGATTGGAAGAATCAACATCATCAAAATGTCCATTCTCCCAAAAGCAATTTATAGATTCAATGCAATCCCAATCAAGATACCAAAGACATTCTTCGCAGATCTAGAAAAAATGATGCTGAAATTCATATGGAGGCACAAGAGACCTCGAATAGCTAAAGCAATCTTGTACAACAAAAACAAAGCCGGAGGCATCACAATACCAGACCTCAGGACATACTACAGGGCAGTTGTAATCAAAACAGCATGGTACTGGTACAGAAACAGATGGATAGACCAATGGAACAGAATTGAAACACCAGAAATCAACCCAAACATCTACAGCCAACTTATATTTGATCAAGGATCTAAAACTAATTCCTGGAGCAAGGACGGTCTATTCAATAAATGGTGCTGGGAAAACTGGATTTCCACGTGCAGAAGCATGAAGCAAGACCCCTACCTTACACCTTACACAAAAATCCACTCAATGTGGATTAAAGACCTAAATCTATGTCCTGACACCATGAAGTTATTAGAGAACATTGGAGAAACCCTTCAAGATATTGGCACAGGCAAAGAGTTTCTGGAAAAGACCCGAGAGGCACAGACAGTCAAAGCCAAAATCAACTATTGGGATTGCATCAAATTGAGAAGTTTCTGTACTGCAAAAGAAACAGTCAGGAGAGTGAAGAGACAACCGACAGAATGGGAAAAAATATTTGCAAACTATGCAACAGATAAAGGGTTAATAACCAGAATCTACAAAGAGATCAAGAAACTCCACAAAAACAAAACCAACAACCCACTTAAGAGATGGGCCAAGGACTTCAATAGACATTTTTCAAAAGAGGAAATCCAAATGGCCAACAGGCACATGAAAAAATGTTCAAGGTCACTAGCAATCAGGGAAATGCAAATCAAAACCACAATGAGGTTTCACCTCACCCCGGTTAGAATGGCTCACATACAGAAATCTACCAACAACAGATGCTGGCGAGGATGTGGGGAAAAAGGGACACTAACCCACTGTTGGTGGGAATGCAAACTGGTCAAGCCACTATGGAAATCAGTCTGGAGATTCCTCAGAAACCTGAATATAACCCTACCGTTCGACCCAGCCATCCCACTCCTTGGAATTTACCCAAAGGAGTTTAAATTGATAAACAAAAAAGCGGTCTGCAGCCTAATGTTTATTGCAGCTCAATTCACAATAGCCAAGACCTGGAACCAACCTAAATGCCCATCAACGGTAGACTGGATAAAGAAATTATGGGATATGTATTCTTTAGAGTACTATACCGCAGTAGGAAACAACGAAATCCAGTCATTTGCAACAAAATGGAGGAATCTGGAACACATCATGCTGAGTGAAGTAAGCCAGTCCCAAAGGGACAAATACCATATGTTCTCCCTGATCGGTGACAACTGACTGAACACCAAAAAGGAAACCTCCTGAAGTGAAATGGACACTATGAGAAATGGTGACTTGATCAGCATAGCCCTGACTGCTAATGGACAACTTAATACATTATCCCTCATAGTATTTTTTTTGTCTGTTCTACTTAATATGACTGGTTTAATTCTGTAATTATCACACAGTTATTCTTAAGTGTTGAAAATTAACTGAAATGTGATCCCTGTTAAACATGAGTGGGAATAAGAGAGGGAAGAGATGTATAATTTGGGGCATGCTCGGGCTGACTTGCCCCAATTGGTAGAGTTGGAAACATACCAGGGGATTCCAATTCAATCCCATCAAGGTGGCATGTGCCAATGCCATCTCACTATTCCAAGTGATCAATTTCAGTTCACAATTGATCATAATGAAAGGACTAAGAGTCAAAGGGAGCACATAAACAAGTCTAGTATCTGCTAACACCAACCGATAGAATAAATAAAGGGGAGAGTGATCCAACATGGGAAGTGAGATACTCAGCAGATTCATAGAATGGCGGATGTCCTAAATAGCACTCTGGCCTCAGAATCAGCCCTAAAGGCACTCGGATCTGGCTGAAAAGCCCATGAGAGTATTTCAGGCATGGAAAGCCAAGACACTCTGGCAAAAAGATCTCTGTGAGTGAGATCCCAGTGGAAAGAACAGGTCTTCAAAGAGGGAGGTGCCTTTCTCTGAAGGGAGGAGAGAACCTCCACTTTCACCATGACTGTGTCTAAACAAGATAAGAGTCGGAGAACTCAAGGGGCTTCCATAGCCTTGGAAACTCATAACTGGTGCATAGGGAGATTACTGATGCCATAAACAGGAGTGTCAATTTGTAAAGTCAACAACAGGAGTCACTGTGCACTTACTCCTCATGTAGGATCTCTGTCCTTAACGTGCTGTACACTGAGGCTTAATGCTATAATGAGTACTCAAACAGTATATTTCACTTTGTGTTTCTATGGGAGTGCAAACGATTGAAATCTTTACTTAATGTACACTAAACTGATCTTCTGTAAAAAAAAAAAAAAAAAAAGAAATTATCAATTCCCAACTTGACTCTCACTGGGATTAAACATGACAATAGGTCTGATCTGATTTCATCATCATTTAAAAAAAATCATCTATTATTTTCACTTTATGTTTCTGTGTGGGAGCAAACTGTTGAAATCCTTACTTAATGTATACTAAGCTGATCTTCTGTATATTAAGATAATCGAAAATGAATCTTGATGTGAATGGAAGGGGAGAGGGAGTGGGAAAGGGGAGGGTTGTGGGTGGGAGGGATGGTATGGGGGGGGAAGCCATTGTAATCCATGATTCGTACTTTGGAAATTTATATTCATTAAATAAAAGATAAAAAAAAAAAGAGAGGGAGGTAGGGAGGGAAGGGAGGGAGAGACAGAGACTGAGACAGAGACAGAGACAGAGACAGAGAGAGAAATACCACTGTACCAGAGGTGAAAGCCTTGGAGAATCACTGAGCTACATGCTTGGAGCTGCTTTATTCACAGGCTGTGTCCAGCTCTCTGACTGGGGCTGGTGTATCACTGGCAAACATTTAGGAAGGACTTCCTGTTCTGCCAGCAGTGCCATTGTGTTACCAAAGGCATTTGGTGTATTTTTTGTCTTTTGTCTTTTGGTGTATTTGTATTTGTAGGCTAGAAGACCAATCACCAAATCCAGGTTATTTTGCAGAGAGAAAGCTATTACAAGGAGATCAGGTAAGGAGTCTGATAAGGGGCCTGGGGAAAGATTTTATGGATTAGGTCGGAGGGGGCTTGTATGTAAAAATGCTGGCAAATCAAGTTCTGATTAGAGGGACTCAGAATCAATCAGGACAGTGTCGATGAAAACAAACAGGATCTGAAAAAAAGTTTAATATGAAGTTTATTCAGGGTAGAACATGAGTGACCTATTCGTGGGAAACCCAAGTCCAACAACTTACAATGAGTCTTTGGAAGTATTCCAAAGTGGTCAAATTCGCATCCAAATTTCAATACACAATGTGCATACTTTGGTTTGGCTTGAAAAGTAGCTTTGGGTTACCAGGGGAAAATTTCTCAATGGTTAGAGATTACTTCCTTTAGGATATGATTGTCTACAAGCACTGTCAGAGACACGAGGGTTTTGTCTCTGAAAAGAGGCTGCTGACAAGAAGGGTGCTCGTTGTCTTTAAGGAGGACATTTTTAGGGATGCATGATGAGGTAGAAAAACAGAGCAAAGGAGTCATCCAGTTTGCTGCAGGTGGCTAAGACAAAACATACCTTTGTGCATGTCCCCTGTGTCAAACTGACCTGATAGTTAACAAAATAAATAAATAAAAGTGTTCCACCACTTCTCAGATAATGCTCACTAGATGTTTCTTTTGAATACTACACAGGCAATTTAGGGACAGCTTGTTCTCACTCACACAATACTGTTGAAATCTAATACTGTTGAAACTAGAGACAACAGAGGACCCCCTCTCTCCATGCTTCATGGTAAGCTTTAGGGGCTGTCTAACATACTAATAGCCCATAATTGTCACTTGCCAATACCTATTCAAACAACACCCCCAATCCCTTTCCTCTGCACCTGTCATGTTCTGTCACTGCTTTGTCCAGTTCTTCCCCCAATTAGCCTAACTCCAAAAATTTACAAATCTCTTTCGAAATGGAGAGGTTGCTTTGGGCTTCACTGTGATCTGCCACTTCTCCTACAGACCTATAATGAGCAATGAATGTTCTCTTTCTCAGAGTTGAATGGAGAGTTCTTACAACAGTAATCGTCTGAACATGAATGGGAAGACCAGTTGAGTGTACCTGCTCTCACTGACATGCTTTCAGTAGCTGCCTGAGAAAACAGAGCTGAATGGAGAAGTCTGTTATCGCTTTTAATTCTATTTTCCACAAACTGTTTGAAATACACTTATACTTGTTACACTGTGTTGTTTAGGAAATAATTACAAAGGAAAAATATATGTATGTATGGTCAGTAGATATGCATCTTTTTAAAAAAAATATTTTGGACCCACAGTTCCTTAAATCCAAGGACCTGAAACCCACACAGATGGTAGGCAAGCTATAAATAGCATACATGCTGATATAGACATACAGAAACATACACAGACATCTATAGACGTACACACAGAGACAAAGATGCTATCGCCTCCATTTTAAATTGTTAATCAGGGGCTATGTATAATAATACAAAACCTGCTAGTTTCTAGAAGAATAGTTAGATCTGAACTGTGTTTCTGGACAAAAGAAAAAAAATAACCTTTCTAGGTTAAAAGCAAGCTCCCAAACAATGCCTTGAATGAAAAACCTCAGGCCCCAGTCTCCCAGCCAATCTCTCTTAGCTTAACTCACTGAATTGAGAGAGTGGTGGAGATGGCTCTACAGGATTCTAATCGCTGGACTCATGAGATAATAGATGACACTTGTGGACAGCATTGTCATGAACAATGTTCTATAGGAGAATTCTGGGTGCAAGACAGAAAGCCCTGAGACCCACTTTGCCATTATCAAAATCTCTGAAGAGTATGACATTGCTGACCACTGAGGAACTTGGACCTGAGCTGACCTTGTAACTGGACTGGATAAGCACTGCAGCTCCAACTAGCCCCTTATCACCTGGCCACCGGCCAACATGCTGCTGCTGCGCGTGTCCTTTGTTCCCTTATTCCTGAATTCTGCTTCCCTGTGGCCTCCTAAACATCCCAGAGCACCCTTATTCAGGATGGTGGTAGATCTGGAGACTGGAGGGTCTGCTAACCCTCTATGTCTTTTCTTTACCCTCAGACTTTGTCCCCATTATTTTGGTTTTCAGGAACAAGATGACTAACACTAAGATTTCTGAAAAATACTGAGATTTTTGCTTGCTCCTTTCCAAATAGTTCTCTTCCTTTCTTGTGATGAGTCATCTCCCTCAAATTTGCATTTTCAAATTGACGGCCTTAGGTGGGAGACCATAGAAAATTCACATCTCAAATACACAGAACTTAGATTTCAAACTTAAAAACCATTACTTTCCAAAATAAAGAAATAAATGTGCAGGTAAAAGTCCAGCTTACAGACAGGGAAAACACCTTAAACAAAGGCAAGGCATGTCCTACAGATTTTAGCCCATCAGCTCCTTAGGAATATTTGTAGTAATTTTGTCCTGCTTTCCTGGTGCAGAGGGGCAAGCAGCCTTACAAATGGAAATTTCTTTTATAGATGTAAATTTGGTCTTTCAAAAGCTTCTTAAAATAAGTAGCTGCAAATATTTCTTAAGGCAGACAGGCACATATTGGAGTCTAATCTGGCTTCAAAGATCAGGAAGTCCCAGATCCTGCCTTCCAACGAAAGTACTAAATGCCTCAGAAAATTTCTGGGGTAGCAGAGGAAGCTTTCCCGTGCAAGGGAAAATGTTCACTGTTGTGGTGAACTCAATAATGACCAAGGCCTAAAGAAGGCTAACGAAGCAGAGTTAGTTGTTCTAAGGGCCTAATTTTAGAAGGCTTCTGTATTGCTTTCTTTTCGTCATGAGGTGGGAAGGTAAGTGAGTTAAAAGGTTAGCAGGCTGAGAGTAGTAGAGAGAGAAGGAGAGAGCGTGCGGCTGGAATTAAGGTTGTGCTCATGACCTTGCTTTGATTCCCCGGGAATTTTGATAATGGCAAAGCACCCTTCAGTCAGTCTGGGGGCAATGTGGAGGTGGTGGCTACTTTTTGCTACAGGCCTGGAGTTCCTGGGAAAGAAACTCCTCAAGACAAGGCCCAGCATCAAGATGCTATCCACAGGGGATTAGGGATCCTGGAGGGCTGGTTGCACCACACCCTCAACTCAGAGTTAATTTTAATGAAAGCAGGGCAAGGAATACTTGAAGGAAGGAGACTGAGACCATGGTAGAGTAGGATCTGGCAGTATTTAGCACCTGAATTCAAGGCACTGGGTAAGTATTTTAGGAAAGTGTCTCCTGTTTTTATTCCAACTCCTTGTCCCATGTGAGATAAGAATTCAAAGCAGAGGCATAAATAATGTGCAAAAATGAGAGCAGGATTTATCTAAAGTGGGATTGTGAGTGTACAGGTAGGAATGAGGGCAGCCAACCCCAGGAGGAGGTACTCCTGGTGAGAAGGCCGGAGGCAGCCTAGTCCCCCAGGCCATAAGGGCTTGGTTTCAGCATTGAGTACGATGGGCTTCTTGGTTACTCATTGTTGGGGAAGAGGAAAGTCTCCTTTGGATATCAATTCTGATTCCAAAAACCACTGAAGGAAAAACTGTAGACAAAATAGATTGAGCTGAGTTTATACATGCATGAAAAGATTCATAAATTTAGCAGCATTCAAATCCAGAAGTGGCTCTGAGGCAACAAAGCAGTGAGTTTTTGTAGTGTGAAGGTAGAGGTAAAATGCATAAATAGTTTGCTTTCTCTCTCAAAGAGCAAGTGCCTTACTTGGCATCGTTTTATCAGTCTGTCATTGACTGAACGGTGGTGCTTATGATTGACTGAGCCTCTGCTTTCTGCTACAATAGCATTCTCCCAAGTTAGGTTTGAGTTTCTGTGCTAAAAAGAGGGTGCAGCTTGTCATGTAGAAACTTGAAAATATGGAGATAGCCTCAGGCCAATGGCCCCTAGCTTATTTAACGATTCTGCCTCTTTACTACCTAATATGTTTGGGAGTCTGTACTTTCAAAGCATTTTGCCAGTGTTTTGTGTTGCTAAAGGTTGGAACTAACTCTACTGTAAATAGATCTCAGATTAGCAGGACCATTAATGAGTTGCATAGGTATGGGATTCCCAGAGTTGAGTCTGTGGTAGGGATAAGAAACTCTTGAATTGTTCTGCATAGCAAAAGTGTGCACTTCAAAGAAATGAAAGGGATGTAGAGGAGGAACAAGATGGGAGAGAGAATCTTCTAAAAATTGATATCTATTTTTTTATTAAACTGCTTCTTGGCACTAGAATCCTCTATAATACCTCACATTTTCAGGAAACATCTGCAGTAACGCTACCTATTGGGCAGATTTTTTTTTTTCTGGAATGTCCCTATGTACTTCTTTTTTAATTGATTAATTTATTTTTTAAGGAATACAAATTTTATAAGTACAAGATTAGGAATATAGTTATTCTTCCCACCCACACTCCCACTCCTTCTCCTCCTCCCTCTCCCCTTCCCAGTCCCATTCTCCATAAAGATTCATTTTCAATGAACTTTGCACACAGGAGACCAACTCTATACTAAGTAAACATTTCAACAATTTGCACATATACACACACACAAAAAAACTGAGAATTAGTTTTACAGTTAACTTCCATAATAACAACTCATTGAGGACAGAGGTCCTGCATGGGGAGTTAGTGCACAGTGACAATTGACACTCTTAATGTTTGTCCTAAACAGCAGACTCATTGACAGTTGCTTTAAGTAACACCCTGTGTATTTCTTGTCTTAGTCCTTGTGAAATTAGGCAGGGAGTTAGGTACTACTAGGTGGTAGCTTTGGGATCCACAAGGAGGGAAGGCCTATAATACTTCCGGGAATAGAAAGTCCCTATCCGCACTTCTGGGGAAGAAAAGTCCTTGTCAAGGTCCCCACGGTGCCTAAAGGTCAACCAGTGAGGATCAGACCTGCCTCAACCTTTAACCCCCGAATCTATAAAAGGAGCCCTCTCAACTTTTGACATGCAACTTCCCCAGACCCTCCCCCCGCCCTGTTGGGACTGGTGAACCTCGCCCGGAAGCGGAATCCCAAAAAAATCCTGTGAATTAATTGATTTGTCTGCCTGGGAAAATTTGTTATGCGCCAGACAACAGGAATTTTTACCAGTCCTCCACTGTAACTTTATCCCTTCATTTCTCAATCTAATATGTCCACCTTCCCATGATGCACCTGTGTCTCACTGGGGACCAGCAAGGAAGAGATGCCTTCATGGCCACATGGAAGTTAAACTCCGTGTTTAGGACTATATAGATCCCAGAAATTCTCATAAGCCACTCCCCACCACCACATAAAATAGACTAATAACAGGCGAGATGCCTTATTTTGCTACTTGCCATGCTTGGGGATCCTTCTCAGGCCTCCTCTTTTCCCCCTTACTTCTCGTGGGCAACTCTCTGGCCCACTCATGATGTCATCTTTCCATGTGTGAATGTATGTTCACTGTGTCTCTATTTTAAATAAATCCTGCTCTCTCTCACTTGGGCACTATGTGGATGCTTGTGCTTTGGATTCTTATCTCTGTGGGGACAAGAACCTAGAATACAGATGAAAATACCTATGCCCATCACACTGGTAGAAGGGAAGAGTGAGACCAGCCTCCAAGGGTGAGCCAAGAGTCACGTCACATATGCTTTAAAAGCAGGTGATAAGAACCAAAGAACATTAGAAGCCCTCTGAGCAATAGCGCGACTCTGTATGGAGAAGCCATCTTGCATTTTCCTTCTTTCAAACTCAAAACTTAAAGGTGGATACTGTCTTGGCCATGAAAACATATTTTTCTCTTATAAGAGGAAGCAAAATAAAGTATGTATATTTTCTAGTTTATTTTATAGAAAATTGCCCTACTTCCCCTTGAAGTAGGCAGGCATACAGGCTAAAATTGATTAGATTTGTGAACTGGAAGACCAAGCCTTCGCCACGCCCCTGTGTGACCTCATGCCCCTACCTGGCCAGACCTGGGTGCCAACCAGTCAATCAGGTTAATTATCCACTCCCCTTTGGAAGTAGATTAAAAGCCTGGGGCACAGAGTGTCTGGCAGGAGGCGGGCTTGCTGTAGCCCTGTGCCTCCAGGGCTCATGGCCTTCAGGCCATGTGCCCTAGGCTTCCTGGCCTAGATACTCATCCACGTGGCTGGTTCCTGGTGCTCAGTATGAACCCCCATTCACCTCTCTCTCTTAAATAAAGCTCTCACTCTCTTATGAACCTTCCTCACTAAATAAAAGCTTAAAATGTACTATGCTGCCTCGTTTATCTGTGCCAGTATTTAGAATTCTCCTCTAAATATTAGGCAAGAACACTCTTGGGCTTATTAATATCGCAGATTTATTAATAAGCTCATGGTGAAATCATATGGCACCCCAAATTTCGGTAGCATATGTGGCACCCCAGATAGCACTCTGGGAAACTTTAAAGGGCCACATTTTTGTGTAGATATTAGGGGGTCATGTCTGATTTCACCCACACTTATAACAGGTAACCAAAAAAAATTCATACTTAGAAAGGACAGATTTTCTTTTAAAATATCATTGCTAGGCAGATGGTGGAGGCCCTATACAGGAGAGATTATTGCAATAGGAAAAACACTGTGGCTACAGACCTGCAAAAGTCTCAAGAATTAGCCAGAGAGAGGCTTTGTTTTATGGAGAAGAAAGGTTTTAAAAGTGTCTTGATTGGATGGTAGGTCAAAGAGTGTTTTACCTTGTGGCCAGCTTATTTTCTGGTAGCGGCCCTTAACGTGGGCATAGTGGAAGTTATCTGCTGTTTCCAATTGAGATTGACCTGAGTTCAAGGGCTTGGGGGAAGGAGGGAAGCCAACCAAATTTTGTCTACAAGCATTTTGCTCCCTTTGATCCATATTCTTTCCTTGACCAACCTGCACTAGGCTCCTTCTGAATCCACTGTTCAGTGAGGCTCAGATTTTGGTCTTCTTGTCTACCACTGCGCTATCTGCTTTTAGGAAGAAGATTCCTGTTACACCAGTTTCAGCAGAACTCCCCATCAACAATATCGGATCATCCTCATCGTCTGATCAGTTTCATCATCCTCCACCATCTTCCAAATGATGCCTCATCTCCCTGGCCTGCCTTCAGCTAGAATCCCCATTGACCCTGATGTTCCTTTTAGTAATTCTCCAACTACTGCCCTTGCCTTGCTCTTTGTCTAGAAAGGGTCACACGCATAGGCTTGGGTTCCACCTCTCTCTCCCACTGCAACACCTCATAGGACTCCACACCTATAGTGATGGCCTCCTCTTGATTACAGTCTTCTTTACCTCTTTTAACATCATGGGTTATATTCTGAAGCAGTAAAAAGCAATTCAATTAGTCATTTATGAGCCAAAGAGTGGGCATTTGCATGGTTTCTGTGTTATGATCTTTTCATAAAGAAAGAATGGGGAATGCATGGATGTTGTCCATGTCCTATAGGAAAAGGGAGGGTTTTATTGCAAGTTTGGGATTCCTTTAAACTTCCTTGTTTTCTAGGAGCAGAAGCAGAGGAGTCACATAAATTCAACTTGTCATGGAATAGCTCCTTCTCTAACAACAAGCCTTGAGATAAGAAAGCAATAGTCATTGTACAAATAAGTTAATTTTGTTGGGGTTTATGTAAATCTATGGAAGGTCTTTATAAAGCCTAAAATGCAAAAGTTAATTATAGTCCTAATATAAACTAAATATCAATTAGTGATTGTCATTGACTGGAAACAGTATTAACCATATTGAATATATTATTATCTAACTTTTTTGTCACAATTTTACAAAGACAGTATTAATATATCCATTTTACAGAATAAAATACAGAAGCAAAAAGAAGCCATAAGGCAGATGCCTAAAGCCACAGTTTAAACATCAGACTAAATTCTTATTGTTGAAAAGGTGCCTTTTTTTGGCTCTGAAATATAAGAAAAAACAAAGTGTTTTTTCTACTCTGACTCACCATTTAAAATAACACTTCCGACATCTGATGTGGAAAAGTACTTCCCCAGTTCCCAATAATTTTCTAGAAAATGCCTGCTGGGAGTCCTATTGCTATAGCTATAGAGACAGATATGTATCCAAGAAAGAGGTGGAGGAAATACCATTCCTGCTAGGGTTGCCGCTCAAACTCATCCCATGAATGGCAACTTGAAATTGCTATTATAGCAAAGCTGCTGCCCAGAAATAGCACCAGCCAAAAATATCAACATGGCTATTTACTGTGTCGCACTGACAACTTATAGCCTATTATAATTCCATTATAATAAAATTACCATGGCTGACACTCCCACTCCCATTGTGCCATGAATGCCATGAAAATTCCAAGACTTCTTATAAAGGCCAGAAAATGTCCAGTCAGCAAATTCCTGGAAATGTTTGTCCATTCCTGAAAGGGTTTACTCCCTCCTAAGTGTGTACTTTCACTTTGCTAGTAAATCTAATTCCTCTGCTAAGCTTTATCTATGTCTTGTCCTTGAGTTCTTTCATATGTCAGAGATAAGAACATGAACCTCTTAAATTCTGAACATTGTAACACCTCTTTTTTAAATTTATATAAGTTGAACAAATTTCATGTAGTTCATAGTGGTATGAAATACATAGTGATACTTCCACTCTATAACTCCTCTTAATTCCAACACTCTAAGACAGAGTCAAATCCCAAAGGTTGAAGGTTCAGTTCCACAAGACCGCTCCCTCCCCATTTCAGATGCCAATCATAAGTAATAGATCATCAGCTATACTCTGACCAGCCAGCTATATCAGGGGTCTTTCTGCCTTCCCCTTGGGTTCAATTAATTTTCTATCAGTCACAGAGATCAGGGAAATACTTTGCTTACATGTAGCAGTTGAATGATAGGGAAGGTAAGAAAGAATAAAAAAGCCAGATAAGCTACACAATGTGAGGTCTAGAAAAGTCCTAAGCACAGAAATTTCTGTCCTTGTGAAGTTGAGATGACCATTGTCCCAGCACAAGGATATGTTTGACAATTGGGAAGCTCTCTGAACCCTTAAATTTGGAGAACTTTATGGAGGTTTTATTTATTTCCAGTGTCTCTTCCATCTCTGGAGAATAGGAGCGGGATAACTGAATGACCTACTCTTGTAATCATGGTTATCTCGTTCTGGTGACCAGACCTTAGTCAAGAGCCCACTATGAGTTGTTTCATTAGGAAAAAAAAAAAAGGTGTCCAGTAAATTCCAAAGGATTTAGGAACTCTGGGTCAAGAACTGGGGTCAAAGGCCAAGTATTACAGCAAAGTGATTTTCCTAGTGCCCCCATCTAGTAGGGTATTAGGAATTGTGACTCAGGAGATTGGGCCAGAATAAAATATTGGGATCAAAGATTCTTCTAGCACCCCTATCACTCAGAAAACTACAAAGGTGTTAGGTGATCTGTGCTCAGGGCTGGAACCAGAGACCAAGATATATGTATTTCCTATTACTATCTCACACTGGCAGTCAAGCTACGTCAAACATTACATTGACCTGTTAGTGAAACTGAACCCCTATACATGGCCTTGAATGCAAATGTTGGATACCACCAGGCCCCTGCCTCTCAGCCTCTCTCCCTTAGTGTAAGGTGTCTTTGTCCTGTGTTGTGTGTGCATGTGTGTGTTGTTGTTGTTGTTGTTTTAACCTTTTTTTAATTGCAAGTTGGCCTCTTACTAAATTTAACTTACTGAATTGAGGGAGTACTGCAGCCATCACTGGACTCATGTGGTCATTTTTTTCTCCAATGATTACCAACTCGATGGCTGGTATGGTCTCAAAGGGTATCTTCTCAGGGAAATTCCAGGCCCATGGCAGGAAGTAATTACCATCTGCATGTTGTCCTCAGAATGGCTAAAGCCCAAACACTGCAGACCAACCAGAAACTTAGGTATGAGCTGAACATCCATTCTCAAGACCCAACTTAAATCTATAAGAAGCTTTGTCCTTCTCCCCACAAGGAGCCTGCAACTTGAGCTACAGCAGCCTGGCTCCTAGTTATGAACATTGCAATAAGTACCTCCTTTCTCCTAGCATCTCAATGCCAGTGATTTGGCTTTCTGCATGTGGGGCAGACATCTCCAGTCTGGGGGTTCTACAGTAACTCCTCCAACCACTTATTGAGACCGTTCCTTACTATTACCAATTCCTTGACAAGTTGAGGCATGTGGCACACTCACATGCTTTGTGATCAATCTAGCAGGAAGAACTGAGACTCTGACTATATTTCATATAGAGGAGGTTAAAAATGTTTTCCTCTACTTCAGTGGTTATGGCTTACAAATCACATGTAATATGAGACAGGTAATAAGAAAAATGAGTTTTAGGTATATATGCACACACAAGAGTTCACAAAGAATGTCCTTCTAGGCGGTGGCCACGTGACTGAGGTTTCTAGATAGTCTTGGACTAAGAAAAGGAAAAGGTGTGGGTCCTCTGAGTGGGAAAATCAAGTTTGGGAAAAGGAAGGCAGGAAATGAGCAGTAGAGTTGTCTCGTTAGTCAAGCCAGAAGCTTTGTGGGGCAAGTTACCTCTGGCAGTAGCTCTCTTCTTAGCGTGGCAATCTCTTTACAAATGAAGTTTATGGGGTCCAGAAAGCTAAGTTATTATCTGGGTTGAGTAGTCATTGTATTTCTGGAAAAGGGGTGGGGGGCAACTTCCAGAACTAAGGATCCACCTCTTTTTCTCCCCTTATGTGGTCATTTCTGTAGGTTGTCATGGCAATTGTAACCTGTGATGGCAGGAGGGGGAGAGGTTTTTACTCTGTTAATGCATCACAATGAGGGTATAATGGGACTGGAGGAAAGGTAGTGCATAATCTGGACACCATTTTGGATTTAACTGATTTGAACCAGTTCTGTTACCTTAATCTTGATTTTGTTCAGCTTACATCCTGGTGGATGGAGCTGAGACTTTCCATATACTATATATCAAAAAACACAGGGGCCGGCGCTGTGGCTCACTTTGTTAATCCTCCGCCTGTGGCGCCAGCATCCCATGTGGGTGCCTGGTATTTATCTCCAAATGGTATCTCCAGATGGTATTTCTCTCCAAATTAAAAACACTGTATACTAAAAATATTAATCTGTCAAGTAGGAGAGTTTTACAATTTCAAATAGATCAAAATTGTATACCTACAACAATTGGAAATTAAACAAAAGTTGCAATGTTGTTTTTAAATGGGTGAAATATTTGAGTCCTAATGAATGTCAATGCACACAGCACAAGAATGAGATCTAAGGGCCGGCGCCATGGCTCACTTGACTAATCCTCCGCCTGCGGCGCCGGCACCCTGGGTTCTAGTCCCGGTTGGGGCACTGGATCCTGTCCCGGCTGCTCCTCTTCCAGTCCAGCTCTCTGCTGTGGCCCAAAAAGGCAGTGGAGGATGGCCCAAGTGCTTGGGCTGCACCTGCATGGGAGATCAGGAGGAAGCACCTGGCTCCTGGCTTCGGATAGGCGCAGCGCTGGCCATAGCAGCCATTTGGGGAGTGAACCAACATAAGGAAGACCTTTCTCTCTGTCTCTCTCTTTCACTGTCTATGACTCTACCTGTCAAATAATATGTGTATATATATATATATATATATAAATATATATATATCTCAAAATGGTTGCTTATCTTGGAAAATTATCACACTCATTAACGGCTAATAAAATATCAGGAATCATAATAAGATCTTATTATATTTTCATTTATAAATGTCTATGTCTGCGCTACATTACATAAACTGGATTAGCAAATTGCCATGTAAAATTTAGGTATGGGTAGAAGCCGTGCAATTTGCATACCAAATTAAGGTATAATGAGAAAGGAACAGATGATGACTGTTTTTCTGTTTTGATTTTAAATGTTTGCAAATGTGTGAGTCTATGTTGCTACTTATTTGTATGTATTTTCAACATATTTAAACTAAGAACTACATTATCATGTGAAGATATCTAGTGAAGGGAACAACAGACTGACTTCTAAAAATGCCATCCTGTTTATACAGTGTAAATATTCAACATGGGTTATTTTGGTCAAAACAGTTGTATTTTAGAAAACACAGCATTGCAATCCTCTTTACCCTGATCTTCGACTTTATTCTTTTTATTCACTTCTATCGTTCTAACTTAGTGTAACCATTCATCCAGTTAAATAAATTGTCAAATCTCTGCTATAGGGCAGCCCCTGTGTTGTTTCCTAGAAAATGTTACAAAAAAGAAAGAACATTGCACTCTTATTTATTGGACATTCAATATATTCTAATGAATGTAAATTATAGATGGATAGATGGAGGGATGGATGGATGAGTGGAAGCATCAAGCAAATGTGTTTTTTATGACATCTAATATACAGCACTGCATTCAGTTTTGCTAGTCATGACAGCAATGTCATCTATCTCCTACAGATCTCTGAATTCCCGTTAGAGGTCTCACCCTTTGCACAAAGCTTTCAAAGCTCCTACAAATTACAACCCCACAATAATATGTTACATAATCACTCACTTATCCAGAGTCTCCTTTTTTTATTCTTTAGGCCTTTATCAAATAACCACTCTGTTCCTAGAATTTCTCTAGGCCTTTGGGTCCATGTCATTATGGATTAAGAACTCAATGAAAAATAGACTTTGGGCAAATAATTTGAAACGTAAAGACTATTTAAAGTTTACAGACTGGCCGGCACCCTGGCTCAACAGGCTAATCCTCCACCTAACGGTGCCGGCACGCTGGGTTCTAGTCCCAGTGGGGGCGCCGGATTCTTTCCCGGTTGCCCCTCTTCCAGGCCAGCTCTCTATTATGGCCCGGGAGTGCAGTGGAGGATGACCCAAGTGCTTGGGCCCTGCACCCCATGGGAGACCAGGAGAAGCACCTGGCTCCTGCCTTTGGATCAGCGCGGTGTGCCAGCCACAGCGCACCAGCCGCGGCAGCCATTGGAGGGTGAACCAATGGCAAAAAGGAAGACCTTTCTCTCTGTCTCTCTTTCTCACTGTCCACTCTGCCTGTCAAAAACAAAAAGTTTATAGACTATAAAAGTTCAAGTAATTTTGAGGACAAAATATAAAAAAGACCTGAAAAACTGAAGTTAGCTAGAAGTACATAGGATTATGGGTAGGTGTCAGGTTAGCGTGAAAAGATGTTTCCCAAGAACACCAAATAGGAGAAACTTAAAAAGGCAAGATATAAAGAAGGCTTGTGTGTGCTTGGTATTGTGAACAATGGCTAAGGCAAAGGGTTCAAGAAAAGTTTAGACAAATAGGTTAAGCTTAGGTGACACAAAGCTTAGCTCTACCACCTCCTCCAACATGGAACTCCACACAAGTTCCATGAAGAAAGGAGTCTTGCCTGCTTAGGTTAATTCTGCATCACCCTTTCCTAGTACAGCGTCTGACAAGTTGCAAGTTTCCCATGGACATTGTCAAGTGAGGAATAAAATACTTTTAATATTGTTGGAACTGAACAATACTTAGATTGAAATCTTTCATTCTGACAGACATACTCATATTTTTAGGTATAGGCATATATAGCTATAAAGATCGATTTTGACATCTAATTTCTGTTTTGGTTCAGTCTCCTACTTGTAAATTTGCTTCTTATGATGTTTTAAAATCTCTTAAACAAAATTAATGTAATTATCTTGTTTCTGACAGATAATTATATTAAATACAATAAATACAATAAAAGTATAATAATAAATACAAGTATATTATATACATTGACTATACATCTAATATGTGGTTGACTATTTAAATATCCTCATATATATTTTGTATATTTATTATTTAGAAAACCTTTTACTCTCATTCACATTAAATCTCAAAATAAGGGGCCGGGACTGTGACAGGTAAAGCCACGACCTGAAGCACCAGCATCCCATATGGGTGCTGGTTTGAGTCCTGGCTGCTCCACTTCCGATCCAGCTCTCTGCTATGGCCTGGGAAAGCAGTGGAAGATGGCCCAAATCCTTAGGCCCCAGCACCAGTGTGGAAGACCCAGAGGAGGCTCCTGGCTTATGACTTAGGATCAGTTTAACATCCTAGCTATTGCAGCCATTTGGGGAGTGAATCAGCAGATGGAAGACCTCTCTCTCTCTCTCTCTCTCTCTGCCTCTGCCTCTCTGTAGCTCTGCCTTTCAAATAAATGAATAAATCTTTTTAAAAATTTTCAAGGTAAAATATTAAAACAATGTCCCTTAAGAACTTCAGTACAACTTGTTGTTCTCTATCATGGAACCAACATTTCTTTCCTTTAAAAGCTAAATTTATTTATTTTGTGTCTAAATGTTTCATGTGAAGGTTTGACATAATATGCAGCATTGTGCTCATATTCACAATTGTTTTACTTAAGATTTATATACCTGTATGCCATCATAGAAACATTCATTGCCTACAATAGATTCCAGAATTCAACAACTCAGAAAAATCTTACACTTTTAAAAATAATTACTTGCTTATTTGAAAAGCAGAGTTACAGAGAGGTAGAGACAGAGACTTCCACCCATTGATTCACTCCCCAAATGGCTGCAACAGCCAAGGCTATGCCAGGCTGAAGCCAGGAGCTGGAGCTGCAGACCAGCTCTCTCCTCTGGATGAAAGGGCACAAGAACTTGGGTCATCTTTCACTGCCTTCTTGGGTGCATCAGCAAGAAGCCGGATCGGAGGTGGAGCAGCTGAGATGCCAACATGAGCCCATATGGGAGGTTGGCATAGCAAATGGTGGCTTAACCTGCTATACCACAACAAGTTCCTCTATAACACACTCTTAATCTGAGATCCTTGCTCATCTTCAGGAGCACCTGGCCACAAAGACATTGTTTGTAAAACACTGCCTGCATGTCTTTGCATGTTATAGTCAACATGGAAATTTACCATATCTTTTATCACATTCTTGAACAGATTTATCACCTTTTACCAAAAGGTTAAGAACCATTGTCATGACAAAAGATATACTTTCCTGATTCTTTATAAATGCACAAAACTTTGCTTTAGAAAATTGACTCCCCCTCATCCAATATGTTCTTAAAGCTATTTTTTTTTATTTATTTGACAGAGTTATAGACAGTGAGAGAGAGAGACAGAGAGAAAGGTCTTCCTTCTGTTGGTTCACTGCCCAAATGGCCACCATGGCCAGCGCTGTGCCGATCTGAAGCCAGGGGCCAGGTGCCTCTTTCTGGTCTCCCATGCGGATGCAGGGACCCAAGCACCTGGGCCATCCTCCACTGCCCTCCTGGGCCACAGCAGAGAGTTGGACTGGAAGAGGAGCAACTGGGACTAGAACCTGGCACCCACATGGGATGCTGGTGCCATGAGTGGAGGATTAACCAAGTGAGCCATGGCACCAGCCCCAAAGCTAATTTCTTAATAAGACTAGAGCAAAACATGATGAGACTGACCCAATGAAGCTAATTCCACATTTAGAATATCCTGCTATCATATTGCATTGGTAATGTACAGAAGTGTTCATCCCTTTGGCTTTTAATTAATAGTATTTTCCAGTTGGGTCAGATAACAATGATCTTGAACCAGATGTTTTAGACAAATGACTTGCATCAGCTTATTCATATTCCCCAGGGGCACTTAACCATGAGAAAGTCGTTAGTAATGACCTGTCAGGTCCACTTAGAGCAGTCTTAAATAATTGACAGGTTGTCTATTCTGCAGAGCCGTCTTTGTAATCCCAGTCTGTATTCCCTTCCTTCTCTTGATTCTCAGGTTCCTTTTTTCTTGACAAAATACAAGCACCTTGCTCCTATCTTGTTTTTTTTCAAAAGGCTTTCAGAAGCTTTTAGAAAACTACATGGATGGCCCATTAACCACAGAGCTGTTCTCTGCAGTCTATGTTAGAAAGTGAGTTTGAGTGGCGGATATAAGAAAATGTTTACTTCTTCCACACTTCAGGTTGTACAGTCTTGAGCTCTATAGCGATAAGGTGGAGAAAATCAGTCAGATTACCTGTAACAGAGTGTTTACAAATGATCATATACTGGTAATATTTCAACTGCTTGAAATGTTTTTATAGATAGACAAAAATTACTTAAAAGGATCTGCAAACCAAAAGTCTTTAAAAAAAGATTTATTTATTTTATTTGAAAGGCAGAGGGATGGGGGTTGGGATGGGGAGAGAGAAGAGAAAGAGAGAGAGAGAGAGGAAGAGGGAATCTTCCACCTGCTGGTTTACTCCCCAAATGGCTACAACAGCCTTTGCTGAATCAGGCTGAAGCTAGGAACCTGGAAATCAATCCAGATCTCTTACATGGGTGGCAGGCGTCAAAGTACCCTTGTATCATTCCTGCTTTCAGGGGCATTAACAGAGTTCTGGATCTGAAGTACAGCAGCTGGGACTCAAACTTTCATCCCAATATGGGATGCCGTTGTCGCAGGCGGCAGCTTAACCTGCTATTCCACAATGCAGACCCCAAAACCTAATGTCTCAGTTGCTCGGTTTGTAAATATTCTACAAAGCAATGAAGCTGTAGTGGGTCAAAATTTGCAGCGCTGTCATAACTATTACATATAAATCTAACTATTAAACAGGGCTACTTAAATTCCTTGCCACAATGTCAGTGGATGTGAAAGAAAAAGAACACATTCATGTGTGACAGCAAACCATAGCGATGCCATCTTCCTCACGCGGCTTTGACCTCTCTTCCTAATTCAGAAGGACACAAACCACCTGCTGATCTAGCTGGCACTGCTCCCAGGTCATAAGGCTTAAGTGCTGTAATAACTCTTTTTGATAAAGTCAGAAAGCCCACGAGAATGCCTAAGGGGCTAGCTCCTAAAGCATATGTGAGGGAGTATAGCATCAGCTCCCTGTGGAATTTGAATGCATGACATTTGCTCCATCTACTTCCTCTTGGGGAAAAAATCTCGCCATAGCTTCCTTTTCTTTAAGTGTTTAGAATTTTATTGATGTGCTTAAGTTTATTTATTTGAATGTTTTATTTATATATTTAAGTTTATTTTCATGTTATTTATGTTTTTAAGTTTATTTGAATATATACATGTACATATATAGTCACATGTACATATATTCATATACATACATATGCACATAAAATCTTCCATCCCCTTGTTCACTCCTGAAATGTCCAAAACAGGCGGGGCTTTGGTCAGGTGAAATCCAGGATCCTGAACTAAATCCAGGTCTCCCACATGGATGTCAGGTAACCAAGTCCCTGAGTCATCACCTGTTGCCTCCTAGATGTGAATCAGCAGGAATCTGAATCATAAGTGGAGCTTGGACTTGAACACAGACTCTGACTTGTAATATGTTTTCCAAGTGGCACTCTAAACACTGAAGCAAACTCCCAGCCCTTTCTACAGTATTGTTGATCAGATTGCCCACCTGCCTTGATATGGTAGTCTGTAAGTTGCCCCAAATGAGCTCCCTGTTCTTGTAGGGAATGTCCTTACTCATTCTTTGTTCTCTGCTTCCATCTCAGTTCCTGCTTTGCATGCTCTGGCCATCATTGGACAACATGTATCAGTAAATCAGGTCAGTAATTTGGTGGTGGTTCAGGTCAACAATTAGCCAATATTACCTATTCATGGGATATCTGGCAGAGCTTCCTTTTTCTTCAAACATGACCTATATTTTAATTATAAGAATTAAATAATGCAAGGAAGGACAGAGGAAATTATGTAAATAATGAAATATAAAATGTTTAAGGTAATATACATGTCTCCACTTTGGTAGTTTTTACATGTTATAATACATGTGTTTTCTTTAAAAATAGAACCATATTCAATTATTCTGCTTTTTCCTTTTTTTTTTTTTTTTTTTTTTGGACAGGCAGAGTGGACAGTGAGAGAGAGAGACAGAGAGAAAGGTCTTCCTTTTGCATTGGTTCACCACCTGAATGGCAGATGCAGCAGGTGCGCTGCCACCTGAATTCAGCACCTGAATTCAGGGGACAGAATTCAGCGCCCCGACCGGGACTAGAACCCGGTGTGCCGGTGGAGGATTGCCTACTGAGCAGTGGCGCTGGCCTTCTTTTTCCATTTTTTAAAAGAAACACATTTGATTATTCAGAATGGGTTTATATTTACCAGAAAATTGATAAAATAATGCAGAATGTTTTCAGAACAATCTCACCCAGTTTCCTACATTATTTGCACCCTAGCCACCTGGCTGAGGGAGTGACACATCTGATTCTTCTTTCCATGAGAGAGTACCCACCCCCCTTTCCCATTCCATACTTACCCTTCTTTGGATGGAAGTTCTTACGTGCAGCGTGAAGGGTTGAGGAGAATTTGTCTCCCCAAAATTCACGCAGAAGTTTAAACCCTGTGGTCTTAGTGGTAACAGCTGGTGGATTAGGGGTCTTAGTGGTAACAGTTGATGGTAAGAGTTGATGGAGAGTTGATCTAATTGTGCAACAGAGAGCTGGATCTGGTAGGAGGTCTTCAGGACGTGGGAGTAGGGGATTCCCTCAGAGGGTTGTCCTTGAGGGATGATTGATTATTTGAATTCAAGTTCTGCCTGGCTATTCCTTCTGCTTTCTAGCTTACCATGTGATTGCTCCTCCATACCTGCCATGAACAGCCTCTAGAGATGGTGGGCAATGGGCCACCTGTAAAC